CTCCTGGAGGGAATCATACATGATGGCCCTTTGTTAATCCCTCTCCAAAGGAAGACACACATTGCCTAATCCAGGCACTCACTGAATGTGGATTCTTGAGTTTGTGTGCTGATTTTATCTATGTTGCTACAATATAGTATTTGTAGATAATATGATAAAGTTGATTAAGGCAGGCATGGTCGCTTATGATTATAATCTCAGCCCTTGGGAGACACCCTTGATGAGGAGGATTAATGCACTTTTGAAGCCAGTCTAGGTCACATAAGAAGTTCCAGGCTAGCCTGAGCTATAGAATGAGAGACTTGTCTCAGAAAATAATTAAAATTTAAAAATCCCAAAGAACAAGAAAGTAGTTTAATAGAGATGCAAGGTTTAGTCCTAACATTGACTTGTTCCTGGAGAGGGTGTTATTGTGACAGGAAAAGGTGAGAACACAGCAGATACGAAGAAGGAGAAGCAACAGCATGAGGAGAGAAGCCTTCAGGAGCCAGAAAACACCTTGCTTTCCCAGCTCTGGCCTCCCTCACCTCCTTTTCTCTCTGTTTCTCTCCCCTTCCCTTCTCCCCTCCTCTCCTATTCTCTCCCTTCCTCTCCCCTTCCCTCTTCTTCTCTTCCCTCCCCTCCTTCTTCTCCTCTCCTCTTTTCTCTTTCCTCTCCACTCCCTTCCTCTCCCCACCCCTCCCCTCCCCTCCTCTGTTCTCTGTTCATCTCATCTCTTGTCTTTCTTCCTTTCTCTTGCCCTCCCTTCCTCCCCATCCTTACCCCTTTCCCCTTGTCCTTCCTTTCCCTTCTCCCTCCCTTTCCCCTTTCCATTTCTCTCTGTGTCTCTGTCTCTCATTCTCTCTCTCTCTCTCTCTCTCTCTCTCTCTCTCTCTCTCTTCTTCCTTTCTTTTCTTCTGAGACAGGATCTGGCTTGGAACTTATTCTGTTTCCCAAATGCTGGGATGATAGGCATGTATGACCATATCAGTGTAACTACACAGGAGCACCAAGCTCCCATAAAGGCTAAAGTAACTCCTTCCTATGATGGTGCCCCTGTGGGTGACCTACTCACCTTACGCTAAACCTTATGTCCTAATATCACCACTCTGAAATCCAGGCTACCACCACATCAACTCTTTCTTCATGAAAACCACAGTATGGTGGTTCCCCAGGCCACTCAGCATGGGGCATAGAAATTGACATCCCCAACATCATGGCACACGGTTTCCTGCTACACATCCTACACAAGATCACTAATCTCCCACGACTCTTCCAGTCTTTCCTGGTGTTCTTAGTGTGCTAGGACATGTGTTTAGCATGCACTGCCAGCCAGAGTGTCATAGAAGAATACAAAACCCTGCTTCTGATGACAACTGAAGGGGCTGCCGCTCACGGATGCCTCAGAGGCTGCTGCAGTCCCTGTACTCACCATCAGTGCCCAACCCCCTCTGTGTTTGCCTGCTACATGAATTCCCTTCAAGTCCTGGCATAGACTGCCAATGCCTCTTCCAGGCTTCCTATTCTGCAAAGAAAGCTTTTCGAGTTGCTTCAGCTGTGTCTCCCTGTGCCTCCCATGGGATTCCACAGGGCACCCAGGGGTGCTTTCTTCTTGCAGCCAGTGCTGAACTCTGACAGGTCAGGTGTTATTACCAAACTGGATTCTTTCAGACAGGGGTTCAGAACTGAAGACATTTTTATATCCCACTCCTCCCAGCCCTGAGTACATTTGGCAAAGTATGGAGATACTCTTGTTTAGGACAGTTGGGTAAGGGGGGTGCCGTTAGCACACAGTTGGTGGAGGCAAGGGATGATGCTGAACACCCTTCAGCACCTAGGACGCTCTTCCCTCATAGATCCAAGCTCAGTTCTGTGGTGAATTTGAGAAGCCACACCTAACATGAGTTCTCTGCCTAGGAATACAACACCTCCTGCAGACAGGCCTAGGGAAGCCTTCTCCAGATCACAGGATGGAGAAGTGTCTGGAGAAGACACTTCTAGGCTGTGTGTCTGGACCATGTCTGGCCAGTTTCTATATCAGGAACCTTAGATGACCTGTCTTTCCCCACAATGATTTCCATGTGGAGTTTTGTCGAGGTTTCCTCTACCCCACATCTTCCTAAACACAGCACTGTGCTTAGCAGTGAATCCTATACAGTAAACCCAGGCTGTCAGATCTGATAGACACACCTCTCCTGTTGCTAAGGTGGCTTGGGAAACAGATGCTATCAATCCTTATGGAACCAGATGTGTGTGTTGCTCTCTGCACATCTCTCAGAGGTCATTGGAATGCATTTTATTACCTCTACACTAAGACTTTGAGCAATGGTCCCCACACTTGTACAAATGGTTCAGTCCTACACACTAGTGACAGAACTCAAAGAGTATGATATCATGACTTTGACCACTCAGGAAATAAAAATATAGATATGCATGAAGGACTGTAACCCAGATTTTCTGCCTAAAAATCATTCTAAAAAGATATGGTATTTGTGATATAGAAACAGAATTTTCAGTTTCCAGTTTGAGATCAAGGAATTGGGGCTGTTGAAGTAATGGAGTGCATTTGTGAACATAATGTGCTCCCCAAGAGGGGCTGATGAGGCCTGACTTCCCTGCAATCATTTCATAGTTTCACTTACCACCCTATCACAGTGTCCCTGGGGACATGCCAACGTAAACAAGAGTGTCACCTTAGTAATATAGACGGCACTGTCCAAATACTAGTCATTAACATCACAAAGCTAGAAGTCTATACACGGCATGACTTAGTCATTTAAGACTTCTTTTCACCTTTTATCTCTGAAACAAAGACATGTCTGCATCTGGTCATCTAACCACACATATTCCCATACACTCTCAAGGGCGGGGCAATCAAAAATGTGAAAGGTTTTGGAAAAACAAAGACCATTCAGACAGCAGTTGTGGAAACTGCACAATTCCATATTTGCAAGGAGCCCTGAGTGGTTTCTTTGTGAGTAGGTCGAGTCCTGCCTAGGAGGCAGCAAACTCCTTCAAGTGCGGACATGTCAGTCCTACCTGCTTAAGAGTGTCTAGCGTGTGGTATATTGTCAACAAATGCTTGTTGAGTGAATGAGTAGAAGAATTCACAAACACCTAAAGAGGAGAGCCAGAGACAGACACCAGAGCAAGATTGGGTTTGCCTTTCTGAGATCCCTAATCTGCCCATTTAAGGGCTGTGCCTGCTCCGTCTCCCTTGATTGAAACATCAAAGAGAGAGGGGTAGCAAAGATATCACTAGAAAACACAGGAGGCATTAATTCAGACCCAGCAGGTGACTCGTTCCTGATTCTAGAATAGATACCCTGCACCCTTACACACACACACACACACACACACACACACACACACACACAAAGTTAAAGCACAGTTTCTCCAGTGCTTGGCCTGCATGCGTGATTTCCTTCCACTTATCTGGCAGGTTTGGGAGGGGGACCTGTGAGTGCAGAGAATTTGCCAGAAGCACACTCACAGCCAGGCTGAACCTCATGTGCCCTTTGCTCGGCGGGGTGACCTTCCCTCTCAGTCTCTTCCCATCTTCCTGAACTCTTCGCATCCTCCAAGTCCCAGTCCAGCCTGAGAACTTGCCATGCTTTCAAAGTTCTACTTCTCTGATGACTTCATTTGAGCTCATTTTATCTGAGTCCATTTTTCTAGGGCAGGAACCATGCCTTCTGTAGTTTCTGATGCTTTCCAACAGCCTCAGGAATGTGGTTCTCCCCTTTTTGATGTTATAACAAAAAACATCTAGTACTTTGACCCCTGTAAGTAGGGCCAAAGTATTTCTGGAATCTATGACTTGGATTACTGTTTGAATGTCAACAATGAAAGGAGGGCACAGGAAATACCCAAGTATCTCGAAATACCATCCCACCAGCGGGATCTCTCTCCTGTTGGCTCCCAGAAAACACCAGTTCACATCATCTACATACTTATATGCACATGTATAAATACATGCCTGTATACATAAGTATTTATGTGTATATATATTTACATTTGCATGTATGTGCATATACAGTTACACACACGTACATTTGAAGAGCAAACCCTCAGAAGAACTTAGCAGCTCAGCTAGACATTATGTTTGAAAGACTAGGACATAGCAAGCAAAACATATGTCTTGGTGAGGATTAATTCTAGATCAGTCGAGACTCAAAGATCTGGCCCTGGGAGAACTGAGCCAAATGGCTACTTAATCAGGCCCCTGAGTCACCAGGTGCTGGGATAATCGGCTGTAGCTGAGTCATGGAGCAGTGAATGGCTTTTGTGTATGGAGACTTGCTGTTAGAAGGGACAGACTCTCTGCAGGGACTATGGCTATGAGGGAACTCTCAGTTTTAAGTCATACTGTTATACCCCAGGCTCCTCTTCCCAGGCTTTTGCTCCTTCCGGCTGTACAGAAATATTTTGATCGAAACTTTGGGGCTAAGAATTGTATATATCTACTTCATTAGTTCATGAGGAGTGAGGTTCATTCCCACCTGCTTAGTCTTGATAACAGCAGATGTTTCACAGTAGTCCTAAACCAAAGAGTGATGGTTTACTGTGTGACATTTGGGAATGAAGACTGGGTCATTTGCCCCACACCAGGGAAACATCCACTGGCAAAGCTTCTTGTTTTGCCCTCTCTGAACATCAGATTTCTCATCTGTAACACAGAACTAATGTCTTGTACCCCCAGAGACTTCCCAGAAGCCTTTCCAGGATGATCTGAGGGCCTCAAAGAGGCTACTCCAGTGCAAGTTGACTCTAAGTTGTCTTGCATCTGATGTTTGATTTACCTAATCTGCATATTTAAATATATTGGTTTTCCTGATAAGATGAACAAAAATCAAGTGGCCAATCAGAGTGCCCTTCTCTTCTGTCTTGAGTTTACTTTAAGCCTCTTTATGCTTCACAAGAAATTAAGGAAAAAGGAGAAGGAGGAATGAGGGGGAGTTGGTGTTTGTCTTCCTGTAAATGTGTGGACAGACCAGACATACATGTGTTTTGTTTTCCAGGGAGATGTGTATCCAACAGGATGGGAGAGTTCATCTCACTGTTGTTTACTTTGGGAAAGAAGAAATGAATGAAGTCAAAGGAATACTTGAAAACACTTCCAAGTAAGTACTGTCTGGTATCATAGCCAGTAGTCATGGCAACCAGGATAGATATGCACACCCAGACCAATAGCTCTGCTTAGTTTTCCTTTCCTTAACATGGGATAACTAGGGAGGTTAATTGTTGGCTATGCATAGGAAAACTCAGAACCCTTCCTCCCCAAGAGACCACCCTGTCTAATACTGGTTGTCTCGGGGTGAGGGGTTTGACAGTAGACATAAACTGCCCTGCTTGGCAAAGGTGTGGAAAATGGGCTTCTGAAGGCAATCTCTCTCAGCACCACACAGGTTCAAGACTTTCATGCTTGCAGAGTCAGATTTAGGGAGGACATAGCTGCTCAGTGAGCTCCAACTGAGTCTCTGCTTGACAATCTAAGAGTAATACCCAGGCTCACATGGCGTCCAGGAAGCAAATGCTCTCACCCTTTCATCTTTGCCTTTCATCCATTACTCATTTAAAGACATCAGGGGACACCCACAAGGGGTGGCTGAGGCAGGGTCCTTGATTAAACCCACCCAGTTGAACAGAAATTACTTAATCAAAACCTTTAGGCCTGAGGCTCCATGTTTATAACTCATTGACCAACTGAAGAATGTAAAAGGTATTCAGAAGCAGCAAAGAGGGACTCTTCCTTTTTTCTTCCAAAATAAATAACCCATGGCATCCTGTGCAAACGAGGAGGCCAGCAGAGTACTGCTGTGCTCCACTTTAGCTTGCCATGGAGGTGTGCAGACTCAGCTCAGAAGGCAGGTGGATCACTCTGATCTATGTGAAGCTTCAGGCTTTAATAGTTCACAGTGGCAGAACTAGTCTGAACAGATCCATATGGTTTAGATATAAACAGGACCGTCTGTTCTGAGTTTCTGGTTCATGGTAATTGGATGACAGTTGAAGGATAAGCTTCTAAGATGGAGAAGGCTTCCCATGTTACTCCACACTGTTACCAGATTTGTGTTAATGGGCACAATTAAAATTTCAAACTCCCTGAAAGCAGAGGGCATCAGCTGTGGCTCTCTGGCCAAACATCCCACCACATATGCTTTTGTAAATAAAGTTTAATTGGATGCAAGAAGGTCCGCTGATTTATGTGTTATTTATGGCAGTCAGACTCACAAAGCCTAGCCAACTTACTGTCTGTTTCTTTATAGAAAGAGAAAATTGCTCACCCTTATCCTAGAGGAATAGGGATTGAAAAGTAGTAAAGGCCTGTTCGTGAGGACCATCAAATGGGAGAAAATAAGTGCTTATCCTAAATGTGATTGAAATAGAAAGCTCTCAGGTCTAATGCAGTGCCATATCCTCCCGTCTTGCTCAGCAGTGGAGAATACAGGTGGTTAGGACTTGCATTTTCTGCCCAGTGGGCACGTGTAGGCATCTTTGCCAATATCCCTTCCTGAACAAAATAGTTTTTAAAGTTCTCCAGGTGCCTCAAGCCTGGAATCAGGTTAGAAAAGTATTGTAAGAAAACTGGTGGCCACTTCTACTGGCTGCACCCTAACTGCAGGTAACTGCATCATTCCAACGTATTTTACCAGGCATGTGCATATACACATAAAATAAATCTTTTTAAAAACATAGGATGAGCTAAAGCAGGAAAACCTATCACATTAAATGCCTATTTTTAGGGCCTGGTGTAATAAGTATCTGTCCAGGCAGATGACTCCAGTGTGCAAACAGAATGGGCAAGTCCTATTCTAATAGGATTGACACTTTTTTTCTTATCTCAAAGGATGTTGGGGCATTTGCCGATGGTTACACAGAATCAGATTTATAGAAACCTTATGTACAAGTGGCAGGCTAGTTTAAACATGCTATAGGAAATATTCTTTCTAAGGACTAGAAGGTTTAAGTATTTTTATCAAACAAGTCTTCCCCATGTCAGGTTTCCCAGGTTACTGAATGTTGTAAGCAAGTGATGCCACAGATTGACCAACACATTTGTATCTTTCCACGATGATCAAATTTATTGATAGCAATGAATTCATAAGATGTAATGATTTTAAGATCTACTTTTATAATCTATGTGTGCATGCTTTGTCTGCATGTATTTATGTGCATTTTGTGCACTTCTGGTGCTCTCAGAAGTCAGAGGAGGGTATCAGAATCTCTGGAATGTGAGACACAATAGGTGTAAGGTGCCACATGGGTGCTAGAAATCGAACCTGGGTACAGAAAGTACTCTTAACCCTTCGGAGCCATCTCTCCACCCCATGCTATCATTTAGTCAGATAATCTTGTCTACCCTGATAATCTGACTGAAGCAAATATATGTTCTCTCATTTTAACTTTAATTTCTAATACAAACTCTCAACATCACAAAGCTCATATAGTAAATCCATTTATATATTTATATGTTATATGTTATATCATATAACATATATATGTTACAGTGAAAGACTCCCGAAGAGGTACTTTCGTAGAGGGAGACCCACACCCAGGAATCAGCGAGGCCACGAACTGGATGCAAAAAACAAGAGGCTTTATTGGAGACGCGGGTACCGGGGGCGACTTAGCTTCTGTGTGGCTAAGCGCCCCGAGCCAAGGGAAAGGGGTCCTTATATAGGGAAAAAGGCGCAAGCTAGGAGCAGGGATTCTATTGGATAATTCTAATGAGGCATTGTACAGAGCTATTCCCATTGGTCAATGTATATGAGGCGCTATACAGGGTTATTCAAATGAGGCAAAGTACAGAGTTATTCAAATGAGGTGAAACATAGAGTCTTTCAAATGAGGCGAAATACAGAATCATTTC